ATATATGAAAAATGCATGTGGGTACTCAAATGAAAGCTCTTGATGAGCGTAACATCAAAATGAGCTTATATCTTTAAAAATGTCAATAGTTAAGAAAATACAGTGCAATTTAACAAAAGTAATTATTTAGAAAAGCGAAATTTTATTTATTTATAGTTCACAAGTACACGGCAGTCACATAGTGACTGCAAGGTTGCTAGTAATAATAATTTTAGCATTAAAACTTAAAAAAAAAAATGGGAAGAAATACTATTTACATGTATGCGCATCACTTTCTTCAATTTTATCAGATATTAATATAGTAAATTTTTTTATTAAATCCAGTTTTTATATCAAAATGAATAATCATATAAATTTAATTAAAAGAAATTGTAAATATATAAGTATTTAAGTGTAACTAATGAAGCTTCTGTTATAAATAAGTTACTAAGTATCGAAACCGATCAAAAAACAACATATCAATAAACAACTACATACATTCAAACGCTCACATACATTAATTATGTATATAAATCATGACAAAAGTACCTCACACATATAATAGTTGTTTTATCATCCACATCAATCATTTTTTCTTAAATAATTATTTTTTGGCAAACTGCAACAAAAATTGTACATAAGTTATTTTTGTTCCTAATTAGCATAGTTATTTGATATAATTATCCATATTAATCATTATTAATAGGATTAAGTACATGAATTATCACACTTGGATAACATTACCACATAAATTTATTTAGTTTCAAGAATAACTAATTTAATTTACTTAAATCAATTAATAGCAATTAATCAATTAATAGCACGTATCTGTACTGCTTTTCTTATTTGTGCACAGTTTTTCTGGTTTCTGTCGGCTTCGTATGCACACAAAGGGCGGCTCACCTGTGGCCTTTGTCGAATTTCAAGACGTTCGCTATGCAGCTCAAGCGATGGGCGCCCTCCAAGGATCCTTACTCCTCTCCTCTGACCGGGGACCGATACGAATTGAATATGCCAAGTCAAAAATGGCCGAGGTGGGCTTTACAAACCTCTGGATCGAAGTAGGTTTCCTTTTTGTATATCATTTTCGTATCACAAATTCGCAACATTGCTTATTCACTATTTATTTATTATTCTACAGTATTTCATTTATAATAAGTCACCAATTGCATGATCACAGTAAAATTAAATATTAAATAAATAATTTACTTATAAGGTTGTCATTAATTTTATCTAACTCAACAATTACACAAAAAAAAAAAAAACTTAAAAACAAATAATTACACAGAAAGAAAAATTTCTTGATTGGAGAACAAAATTCTTGGCTCAAGAAAATTTTCGGGTGCCTGAAGGAAGAGAAGTTGTGTTGGCCAAACTAAAAATTTTTCTTTAAGTCATTTTTTCTTAATTCTAATTATCATAAATACTTGATACAATAAATTTTTATATTTGATCAAGATTTTTAGATACTTAAGAAGCAGCGCCACCTACTTCAGCTGAGAAAAAAATTTTCTCACCCTGAGAAAATTTTTCTCTTGAATATTTGATACCTATTTTATTTTATTTTAGCGTGCAATTATACATATTGAATGAAAAAAAATGAAATATTATTTGATCTTCCCATTTGACATGTTAATCAATAAAAATTTACTTCTATCCTTACATTTAATTTTTTGGAGCAAGAGAGAAATTTTCTCAAGACAAGATTTTCTTGACTTAAATAAATTTTCTTTGATCAAGATACTTATTTTTTAAAGCAGTAGAATTAATTTTGGAATAAGTGAAATTTCCTGTGTCAAAAAAATTTTTTTTCACTCAAGAAAATAATTAGTAGAAAAATATTTTCTTCGCTCAGAACCTTTTTTTCTGTGTACATTTCTTCCCTATAATCTGAAAATAGGAATTACTAATTTTTTTTTATGAAAAACAATTTGAGCTTTTTTATGTACATTATATGCACGTAGTTATATTATTTTAATATAAATTTATATTCTTCTCATGCTTTTACATATTCATTGATATCAACAATACAAAAAACTACTACAATTATCATTACATATTCTTCTCATTAAAAATTAATCTACAAATGATAAAAAAATATTTTTTTTACATCTGATATTTTACTTTCAACAAAGAATATCATTATATATTAATAAACTACACTATAACTCGGATCGATACTTAGTTTTATAACCGTGATTTTATTATCGATTCATGTTCTCTTTTTATTTCCAACTGTTTTATTCTACATTTTAAAAAGTGTTTCTTCGTTAAAAAAACTAATTTTTAACAGGCTTAAAAAATTAAAAACTTTCTTAATTATATATTAAAAAAAAATTGTTTATAATTTTTCAGGGATCCAAGGGAGAAAAAAATGGGCAATCTTAAAATTGACATTAATGGAATGTGAAGAATAAAGAGATTTTTTGGAGCTGAGTAAGGCTACTGAAGAAATGTAAAGGTAAAATCTAAATTGGTGTCTCGTAAATCAAAGCCGATTGAATTCAGTTACTACAGCGCTTATAGGAAATTAATTACAATTTTTTAACTCTTGTTACGAGATGTGTGCTATGCGTCTAAAGCTTGGGTGATAATTCTTCTTTTTTTAATTAATTAATTATTAACTGCTTAACTTGAACGATCAACAATTAATTTTATGCACATCAATTTACGTAGAAAGAAATTTGTTATTTAATTATTTATTATTTTCCTAATTATAGGAATTTTATTAAAGCTTTTAGGCGAAATTGTTAAATTGTTAACTTTTAGGTAATTATTATTACTTATAAGATTATCATTATTATTATTATTATATTAAAAAATAAACCACAACTATGATTATAAATTATAATAATCAAGCTTGGTTTAAAGAAGAAAATTTTATTAAAAAAATTTCTATTATTTCTTCACAAAAAAAATTAATTTTTTTTTAACTATTTTAAATGAATTTTTTTTACATAATAATAATAATAATAATAATAATAATAATAATGATAGTCGTATGATTCGAATTAAATGCTATTTAAAAGTATATGTATTGTTGCAACTATAATTGGGCATGAATGAAGTATAAAGTCACAAAAGACTATTTGAAAAAAAAAATCATGGAAGTAACAAAAAAAAAAAAAAAGAAGAAATGAAAAATCTAGCTCTAAGTAAAAAATCCTTTTACGAACATCAAGTTTAATACCAAAGGTGCCCTAAAAAACGTGTAATTATGTTTTTTATCAGCAAATATCGTGTTTGACGCGAGGATAGCTGGCTATTATAAAATTGAATTTGACAGTGTGTACATGCGTACGTGAGAATAAGAATGATTAAAGTGAAAAAAAAAAAAAAAAAAAATCACAATAACGAATCAACACTGAAATGGTGTATAAATAATAAATTCTCTTAGTAATGATAATGATAATGATAATGGTGAAAGTATTGACTCGTTAATTATAAATTATATGAATGAAAACATATCAATAGAAATTAAGAAGAAATATTTATCAAAGGTATACGGTAAATATTGATATAAAGAAGAAAAAACAATGAGTATGGTAAAACAGCGAAACCAAAAAATAATAAAACATTAATACTTGATGGATAAATAAAACTAGTGTATAACTTACAACGTCTGTGTATTTGTAATAAAGTAGCAAAGGTGTGCCCCGTGTGCTAGAACGGCCAACTCGGCACGTAATTTGCCCAAGTGCCTTCCCGTTGGTCGAGTCATGCTAACTGTACTGTAAGTCACGTCCCGTGTAATCGTCAAACGCCGTCGCTTGAACCGAATTATTCCGACCTCAATTTTTTCTTATATTACTAACTCTTTCTTTTTTTTTTATTCATTTTATTCCGTTGTAATTTTTTTATTTCTTCTTTGTCTAGTGTAATATTTCTGATATATTTACTTAGAAATTTTTAATAATTGTTCACTTATCGAACCTCTTTTTTAAAATTTATTTTAATTAATATAACTGGGCATTTATGTATATTCTAATTGTACTAGACATATCAGTAATTAAAGTATTACAAACGGGAGTGAAAAATTCAGAATGAGAGTGAGCTCTATACATTGATTATAATATAAAGAAATTATAGAAAAAAAAAAGTAATTAAATTTAAATAACTACACGGAAAGAATGAGATGACACTGGATATCATCCCAGATTATACTCAGTGATATCTGGGGTAAAAAAAATTTCAGAGGGTTTTTAAAAAAATATTTGACTATCCTAATATGATAATTCTAAGTGCGCAGGCGCTAGAAAAAAAATGGTGAAGATATCACTGAGTATAATCCAAGATCATAATCCGAATTATAAAGCATGCTATCTTGGATTAGATCCAGTGTAATCTTACTAAGATATTACTGGGTGAAATCGGAGATTACAATTATAATCCAAATATCACTCAATACAATCTGGATTATACTAACTACTATCTGAAATTTTTTTTTTCTATAGATATTGCACAGAAAGAAAAATTTCTTGACTGGAGAATAAAATTCTTGGCTCAAGAGAAATTGTGTTGGCCGAAGTAAAAATTTTTCTTTAAAGTCTATTCTTGGTGGAAGTAATTTTTTCTTCATTTAAACTATCATAAATACTTGATACAATAAATTTTTATATTTGATCAAGAATTTTAGATACTTTAGGGAGGCAGCGCCACCTATTTCAGCTGAGAAAAAAATTTTCTCACCTTGAGAAAATTTTTCTCTTGAATATTTGATACCCAATTTATATTATTTTGGCGTGCAATTATACATATTGAATGAAAAAAAATGATGAAATATTATTTTATCTTCCCACTTGACAAGTTAATCAATAAAAATATTAATGAAAATTAACTTCTATCTTTATATTTAATTTTTTGGAGCAAGAGACAAATTTTCTCAAGACAAGAAAATTTACTTCTATCAAGAACTAAATTTTTAGGAGCAAGATGCTGAATTTTCTCAAAACAAGATTTTCTTGACTTGAATAAATTTTCTTGGATCAAGATACTTATTTCTTAAAGCAAGAGAATTAATTTTAGAATAAGTGAAAATTCTTGTCAAAAAAAAATTTTTTTCACTCAAGAAAATAATTAGAAGAAAAATATTTTCTTGGCTCAGAACATTTTTTTCTGAGTATAATCTGAGATGATATCCAGTGTCATCTTGTTCTTTCCGTGTACGATAATTATTTAAAGTTAGCGAATAACTATTATATTGAACAGTAATAGTACTAGGTATTTCATAATGTTCAATATATCGTGATTCATAGACATCCTTGGCGTTTTGCATAACATTTATGATAAAGTGAGAAGATAGTATAAATGATGATATAGAGTAAATAAAATAATAACAACAATAACAATAATAATATTATTAATAATAGTAATAATAAAAAATCTTAGAAAAGTTTATTATTTTTCTACATTTGATCAACCATCATGCTATTTATAAATTAAATTTTTTTCTTCTCAAATTTAAATGCTACCGTCCTCTTATGCATGCTTTAAAGCGTAATTATTATTATTAGTAATTATTCTGTTGTTATTGCTGTTGTTGTTACTATTATTAGTTTTTCTATTAATTATTTTGTTTTTTAAAAATAAGACGTCAATTGACTTACGTGATTAATAATTTAATATCAATAGAAAGTAATACCCATTAACAAAAGGGATTTTTTAAAGTTAAGACTATAAATATAAATAATTTGTGTAAAAATAATATTTAGCTACATAATTCACATATCGATAGGCGTACATAAGTTTTAAAATATATATTCGATTTCGTGATAATAATAACTAATACATATCAGCAAGTTAATTACTTACAAAGTAATGAAACTATTATTCAGCTAAAAAATTGAAAAAAAAAAAAAAAAATTAAGTAATATCTTTATTAAAAGAAATACAGACATATCAATTAATATTATATAAAGTTACTGTCAGATTGAATTTATAATAAAACTTGAAGCGACGTTTATACATTTAATAAATTTTCTGCAGTAAGACGCGACATTATTTTAATAATATATATAAATAATAATAATTATAATACTATCTGATTTCATTGACGTTCTACTTTCGAGAAAGTATTTAGTTTATCTTAAATTAGTAGTAAAAAAAATTTATAACATTTTTTAAATAATTCAAGCTAATTTTTACTATTATTTTTTGGGATAAAATTTCTATTTTATCTTTTTTTGATATATTTTTTTTTGAAAAGTACATAAAAAAACGAACAATTTAAAAATAAAGTTGAATATCACAAAATATTTATAAATTTTTTTGAAAATTTGTAAAATTGTAATGATCAATTTTTTTTTTGTTTTTTAATTTAATTTTTTATTTATTTTTATAAATAATAATCTCGGCAATTTACAACAATATATTAAATTTTCATGTATAGAATATATTTAATTAATATTTACATACAATAAATAACATCAGTAAAGAGAAGATAGATTTAGGAGATTTGAGAGAAGAAAAAAATTTTTGCTTCAATTTTTATTTTATTTACTGGTCCTCCAAAAATGTCAACATTATATTTTTTGATGACTTTGCCTATTAATTGTTCATTTTTTATATAATTAAAAAAAAAAAAATATTGTGAAAAACAAATAATAAAGATTTTGATTGCTTTTTTGCTTTCAAAAGTTAGAAAAAATTTTGGCTCTAATATTTTTGGATAAAATTTCTATTTTATCTTTTTTTGATTTTTTTTTTTTTGAAAGATACATTAAAAAATCGACAATTGAAAAAAAGTTGAATTTCACAATTTATAAATTATTTTGAAAATTTATTGAAATTGTGATAATTAATTTTTTTTTAAGTTATTCATTTTTTTATGTATGAAAAAAAAAAAAAATAAAATAAAAATTTCGTTAAAAAAAATGAAAATTAAAATAGTCGACCCCACTTGTAAATATTTAACGAACCATATTGTTAAAAAAAAATTGACACAACAATCAGAAATTTCAGTACCGCTGTTACAACGATTTATGCTTACTTCCAATTTCACGCCATGACGATCTCACTGCTACGCTCTAATTTTCAACTTTTCTTTATTATCTACTTTTTCTAAGCCTTTGTCTTTTTTACCTTAACTTTATATTAAATACAAGAATCGTCATGAAATTAAAAAAAAATTTTTTTTCACAATTATAGACTTTGCTGATAATTTAAAAATTGAATTTTAGGAAAAAATGTAAATATAAACTGTGAAATTTCTTTATTGTTGAATTTAAACGAAATAAATTTGATAGTGTGAATGAAAGTAATTTAAAATAAAAAATCGTGTATTCTACAATAAGCTTCAATGAATTAAGAGTCAACAAAAATTATTAAATTGAATTTAAATAACTATAGGTTGGATTCAGAAGTGCTTTACACGTGAAACTAACTCATATCATTAGATAGTAATTGCTATTT